CTCCATGAGTTCACTGGCCAGCCAGTTTACTGTACTTGGTGAGTTTCAGTCTAGTAAGACACCGTATGTCAAAAAAACAAAAACCAAAACCCCAATTTTTAAAAGGGATAAATAATTAAGGAAACAAATAACTCGGGGGGTGGGGGGGGGGCAGAGCCTGAAGACTAAGACCTGATGCGGTTTCGGCTCCTGCATGCATGTGCAGCGTGCACGTGTTCCTTGTGCGCAAACAAACACACAGAATGTTAGATGAGTCATCCAGGTTGCCTTATTCCTGTTCCGAGCTTGTGGAGCAAGGCTGACGACAGCAGAGGAACCCTGGAGATATTTTGTTCTTTTCAGAACATTCAAGAAGCATTTCTGTGCCAGAAACTAAATTTAGTTGGTAGAGAAGGGGTGATAGAGCGATGAATCAGACTGGGTCTGTGCCCCCCCCCCCCCAGTCTTCACAACCTAGTCAAAAAGGCAAGATGTACACCCCAGTTTTCGGGTTGAGGGAGCTGCCAATCCTCCCTTCCCTTGGAGAACTCTGGCAACAGCTGGAGACATTTTTGATTATCAGAACTGGAGGGGGACGTGCCATTGGCACCTAGAGGATACAGCTAGCCATCCGATAATGCAAACACAGACTTCCAATGACAGAGAATTATCCAGCCCCAAAGTCAATAGTGCCAAGACCAAGAAGCCTTATCCTAGCTGTATTAGCTAAAATAGAGGACTTATTGTCGGCCTGCTCAGTGAATTGATTGATTGGTGGTGGGCTACATGGTAAATGACTTCCACCCTAAGGCCCCAGTCACTCTGCATTTACTGTCACCCACAATATCTGCCAAGGTTCTTTTGAACACACGCACATTTAGATGGGTGCCCAAGAAAGCGTGAGCTCAGGAGACACCGGGCAACCTGAGTGGCAATTTATGGTGAAATGTCAAAAAGATGACATTTGGGATAGACAGGCTTAAGGGTAGCACATTCACCCAGCATGCTTTAGGTTCAGTACCCAGCATGGGAGGGGTTGGGTTCCGAGGAACAAAGTTTTTCTAGATGATGTCAGGGCACTAAATGTTCAGTGAAAGTGAACCGAGCATAGCAGCTATGCTTAGCAACACTTGTTTATCTGAACGAAGTCGATTCTTACAAAAACAATCCCGGTGCCGGTGTCTTGGAAATTCCTCATTATAGGCTGGGATTACATACAATACCATGAAGAGGGTTTGAGATCGGCATTCAGAATGTTCCAGACTTCAAATTAGTCTGTTCTTTAAAGCATCGGAGTAGTGATTTTGAACAAAGTTTGAAATTTCAACTATTAAAAAACTGAGATTATCACTTGACGAATTTAGGAGAAAGAGGGAGTGGGATTTTAAAGCAGACCCTGAACATTTTATATATGATGCGGCTCCTGCTCCTTCTATGCAGTAACAGGCAAAACAGAGCTTCAGTTGTGAGCATGTACCACGTACTTTTGTTATATCTGCATAGCTTCACAGAATCTGACAGAGACTACCTAAAGGAGCACAGACACATCCCTTTGTTTCTTCCTCCCGTCTCTCCCTCCTTTCCTTTTCAATTTTTTTCTAGTTTTATACATTTATTTGTTTGTTTGTTTTACATGTATGGGGGTTTTTCATGCCTTGTCTCCCTCAGAGGCCAGAAGAAGGGGTCAGATGCCTTGGGAAAAGAGAGAGATACAGGTTGCTTTGAGCCACCGTATTCCTCCTGAGAATCGAGCCTAGGTCCTGTGGAAAGGCAGCCAGTGTTCTTAACTGCTTAGTCATCTCCCTGGCCTCGCCTTTTTAAATAAAATTAAATCATTTTGAAGTTTTAGAGAGAGTCCCATACTGTAGCCCAGTTTTGTCCAGAACTATGTAGCCCAGGCAGGCACGAAACATGCGGCAACTTCCTGCCTCAACCTCCCAAGTGCTGGATTGCTGGCTTGTGTATGACATACTGTGTCTGGCAGAGAGGGATTTGTTTTGGCTCATGGATTTGGAGGGTTTCAGCCTATTGTGGAGGGAGGGTATAGTGGAGGAGTTGGGATTGTGGGAGCAGGAGCCAGGCAGCAAAGACTATGCTAAAACCAGGGGGCCAGGCTACAACTTTCAAAGGCCCACCCCTAGAGACCCACTTCCAGGAGCTAGGATAGGCTGCACTTCCCAGGGTTCTACCACTTCCCTTAATGGTGCCACCAGCTGAGAGACAAACAGTCAAAACAGGAGCCTGGGGGAGGGGGGAGTGAGGGGTGTTTCAGATGCAAACTACAGCACAAGTCACTATTAGAGAAGTTTGGGATTAATTAAAAATGAAACTATATTATCAAAGCTAAACACGTCAGTAAAAAGACATAATCTACTTTACTAAAACTATTAATACCTCTTTTTCAGGAAAAATGGTGAGGTAGTCTAATATTCTAATGCCAGTGAAATAAACAGCCATTGTTACCGAGAAATCTGTAATTTCGATGAAGCAATTACCTTCGCTGTGCTCTGTGGGTTACCCAGGAGACAGTGGCTTTCTTCTTTGGCCTATCTGACCTGTATGTAAGTTGGTGAGCAAGTCAGGAAATGGCCTGTAATTGTGTATTAGTACTCATCAAATACAAACGGGAAGGGGGAACTACCGCACAGATCTCAAAGACAAATACCTAGAATAATCTGTCATTTGGATTAGCATTGCTGTTCTCTGAATGTAGCACACATTACAGAGACCACAGGGTGCTTGGTGTTCGCAACACAAAGGAGCAGAGCTTTGGAATTTTCCAGTCAAATTTTTTGCCTAATGCGAATTTAGTAAAGCGTGCTTAGGAGCAAAGACGGACTGTTCTCTTTGCTCCTCATAGAGGAATAAATAAAGAAAATCATTTCAGCTCTACATAACAAAGGCGATCTCATGGAGGATAGGGGCCCTAAGTAAATAAATGGGATTTTAAAATGATGCACATTTTTAATACCAAAAATTCAAAATTTAAAGGAATAAGATTTGGACCGAGGCAGCTTGCCAAGGTAGCTTGCCTATCATCAATGAGGTCCTGGGTTCAGAGCAACCCTTGCAAAGAACTGTCTTGGGAAAACATCTCATATTTTCAGAAAAAGTGCTGGAACTGGGGGCCCAGGAGGTGTTTCAGCTGGTAAAATCATGATTGGAGTTCAGTTTCCCAGCACCCACATACAGTTGGGTGTGGCAGTCAGTGCCTGTAATCCCAGCATTGGGGAGATGGAGACAGGAGGCCCCCTGAAGATTCAGGCCAGCCTGTGTAACTGGATCGGGGAGTTCCAGGTTCAGTGAGAGAGTATGTTCCAAAAGTTAAAGCAGAGAGGAACTGAGGAAGACACCAAAAAAAGCCTCTGACTTACCCCTCACATTCATCCACACATACAATACAAACCTTCACACACACAAAAGTGTTGTAATTTGTTAAAGTGCCATCATTGTTGCCTCCTTTTGGATTTTTTTCTACTTCCTAGTCTAGGGATAATGTCTGGGGTGTTTAATAACTCATACAGCGAGGCACTGACCAGTCAAAAGGAATGCCCAAGTAACCAGAGTGGCTCAACTAATATGCACAATCTAGACAGCAGCTTGCATTATTTAATATCGTCCAGAGTTTATTTCTAAACTGAAGACATTAAAAAATATACATCCTTTACTGCAATATGGTTCAGAACAGAGGGGCTGAACTGAGGATTAGAATATGTGTATACAGAAGAAAATTCAAATATTCTCAAGGCTTATCCAAGTCAGTGTTATAATTGCTTATCAACTGAGAATTCTAATTAATTGCCTTCCTATCATAGCTTTCAGGTGGGCTTTTTAAAAATTAAAAATACGAGTTTGGGTTTCCTTATTGGACTTATAAAGCCAAACATTACAGCTAAACTACCCTAGCACTTAGAAGGTTTGAACGTGAATCTCATATTCAAGGCCAACCTGACTACTTAGTGAATTTTAGGCTAGCTCTGGCTATTTAGCAAGACCCTGTGTCAACAAACAAACAAATTAGTAAATAAATGGGCTGATAAAGTGGTTTAGTGAGTAAAAGTGCTTGCTGCACAAGCCTGAAGACCTCAGTTCAGTCCCTCAAACTAACAAGGTAGAAGGAGGGAACTGGCTCCCAAAGACTGAACTCTGATCTGCTGTGGGATAATGCTCTTGTACACCGTGAAGATTTGTCACTTGTATTGGTTTAATAAAATGCTGATTGACCAGTAGCCAGGCAGGAAGTATAGGTGGGGTGACCAGAATAGGATTCTGGGAAGAAGAAAGGCAGAGAGTCAGTCACCAGCCAGAGTCAGATAAAGCAAGATTGGAATGGCTTACTGATATAAAAGATACCAAGACAACATGGATAAACATAGACAAAAATTGTGGGTTACTTTAACAAGAATTATGGGGGGCTGGAGAGATGGCTCAGTGGTTAAGAGCATTGCCTGCTCTTCCAGAGGTCCTGAGTTCAATTCCCGGCAACCACATGGTGGCTCACAACCATCTGTAATGAGGTCTGGTGCCCTCTTCTGGCCTGCAGACATATACACAGACAGAATATTGCATGCATAATAAATAAATAAATAAATAAATAAATAAATATTTAAAAAACCAAGAATTATGGGTTACTTTAAGTTGTAAGAGCTAGTTAATAATAAGCCTGAGCTAATAGGCCATATAGTTTATAACTAGTATAAGCCTCTATGTGTTTCTTTGGGACTGAACGGCTGCAGAACTGGGTGGGACAGAAACTTCCGTACACACTGATCTCTATTCTAGCACTGTCACATTGTGTCCTGCGCACGCACACACACACACACACACACACACACATACACACACACACACACATACACACACACACATACACATACACACACACATACACATACACACACACACACATACACATACACACACACACATACACACACACATACACATACACACACACATACACACACACACATACACACACACACACACCACATTCTCACATGTACACCCACACAATAAAAAACCAAATCAATAAGCTTTTATTTCTACATCTGAATTTCTACAATGTTCTTCTAGCATTCACAAAAAAAAAAAGTTATCTTTAGGTGATGGAATACAACATAGTTTCGCATTCTCTCTGTGAAATTCAGCATATGAATGTCTTTACAAGTCATTAAATAACAATCATCTAAAAATCCTCTCAATTCTACTTATTTAGCCAACATCTCAGTTCAAGCTTCTTGCCTCTCCTAACTCATCGCCCAAATTTGCTTCTCAAAAACTCATCGCCACTTCCACTGCCGTGAGTCATCTGACAGGAATCTCTCATGTATCCACAGGGAAAGGACTGGCTAGCTGGCTGCTTTCTCCTGGCCCTTGACCTCTGCGGAGCTTCTCCTCTGCTAGCTGCATTCCTGGTGTTGTCGTCACTAGTCGGTTCAAAACACTGCTGCACTCTCCACAGCCTTCTAAAAGGAGGCGCACAATACAGAGTATTTAGAAACTTGGGGACTCAGGGCTCAGCTTAAGTAGTACTTGCAAACCTTGGACTGTCACTCAAGTCAGGGTCCCTGCGTGAAATAATCTCATAATTTCTTGTGTTGCAAGGTGTGTTAGCGGGTAAGATAAGAAGACATTCGGATGATGCTCAGACACTCAGGCTTCTGGGAACATCTCACTGTTTTGCCCACACGGTGTGGTAAGTAGGCAACTTGAACCAATCAAATCTAAGTATCCTTTAGCCATATGACTCAGCTTCCCTGCTCTCCCCAGGGACCCTAAGGGGTATACTTCCTTGAGACTATGTAGTAGCAGGATCCTCTTCCTCTTCCTCCTCCTGCTTTTCTCACTGTATTTATAATGCCATGTGTGCTCTAGTGGTCCACCTAAATAAAGTGAGGGTAAGAAATAGGATGAGTTTTTGCCATGGGAAAAGTCTCAGAGTCAGGCCGCATGACTTCCAGGTATGGCTCTGAAGGGCACATGCCCATGAAAAAGGACTTGAGTTGATGGACCTCTCGTCTTCATCTTCAGATTCTGTGCTCTGAACTCTGCTCGTCCTTCTTACGATCCATCATCCTGGGAGGGTGACAGTCTCTACTGGCCGCCATCCTCACTTGGTGTGGAATGAGAGGCCTCTCTCTGTGAGAGCACCAGCTCTGAGAGCTAAACAGAGGGGGAGAGGTGGGCGGACAAGCACTTGTGGGGATGTGGAGCTGTCCAGCAGAGAAGGAGCTGCAACAGTGAGGTCCCAGAGAATCGCACTCAGGGTAGCAGCTGGCAGCAGGGATTCCGGGAGAGCATTCCTAACCGGAAGAATGCGTGGATGCCTGCAGGGAGACAACCGTTTTTCTTTTACCTTAGGTTGCAGCTACTCACATAATCCTTGGTCTTAAAGTAGGAAATGGACAGTTCAGAAATGAAAAAGTTGTTAAGTTTGAAATCGTACCATTCTGAGAAGCATGATGCAAGCTCAGGTCATGCCCTCCTGAGATAGGTATTATCCCCTTGCCCAGGGTGTCCACATTGTAAGTGGCACGTGAGCCACTTAGCAGCCACCTTGGCTAGCATGTTAACTGCCATGAGGTCAAAGGGATTCCTTGAAGTAACCTTAGTGGACTTACTAATGGCTTGAAGGCACAATGGTGCAGACAACAAAGAAATCATAAAGAATTTCCTTTAAGTGAAAAGGTGAACTCTGTTAGCTTGCTAAGGAAAGGAAGAAGTAGATGCGGAGGTTTTGGAGACATACAGGAAAAACAAATCTATCTGTAAAAGGGTAGAAAACAAACAAGGAAGCCTGTGTGTGCTAGCTTTACTATCAATTCCAAACTGCGAAAGTTATGGTTATCACATTCAGTAAGTGCTTGGTTATGATGGAAAAGGAGTTAAATACGGGCCTTGGTTCTATGGTTTCAGGTATCTCCCGACTATCCGAGCATATCCTGTGTATGAGGGGGACTACTATACCCAATCTCCGTATGTGTTCACCCACCCACCCACCCTGAGGGGAGGTGAAGAGAGAGAGAGGAGCAGAAGTGTGCAGGGGAAGGAAAAAGGGAGACCTGAGGAGGAACGGAGGCAAAGGCAGGGTTACCATAGACACAAACAGTCTCTCAGCTTGTTACGTTGATCCACTTCCTATCTGCATGTGTGGGTGTGCACAAGTGCAGGCTCACACACACACACATACTACACACACATGCATGACCAATAAACATGCCCTGTGAGTGTGTTGCAGCTTTGGTATTTATGCTCTACAATCAAAAAATAGTCATTTTAAGCACCTTTTTTTTGGGGGGGGGGAAGTAGCTAGTCAAAGGTTTTCTTCCAACAGTGAGTGTATAACTTAAAATTTAAATACCAAGTACACGTGTCCTATAAAAGCCTCTTAGTTTTGTCCCCTTTCTAAGTGGCAGGTGCATCCCTTCAGTGTACGCTCACTTGCTTGATAAAATACAATAATCTATTGCCCAATTATTTTTTTATCAATCAACTTGATACCTAGACATATTTGTTTCTCCTTTTCCAAAGGAAAAACCAACATGACCACAAATACCCTAGAGCTGGGAAAAGGGCCAGAATTGGAAGCATTTCTTGTCCAGATTTCATATCCCAGGCAATTAAATATCATCCCAATTTTCTAGGGACATTCAATTGATGATAGAAAAGCAAGGTATTCCTTTGTCATTTTAAAATACTTAAAAAACTATAAGCTAATAAATAATATTTTTATTTCAAAACTGAAAATCCATTAGAGAAAATGTGGGAAATACAAAAATATGTATACCTCAAAATAAAAACTTTGAAGTCTTATTTCAAGATCACTGTTTTCTGAATGAAAAAAAAAAGAGCAAAGTAAAAATAATGTTTGGTCCAAACTAAAAATCATTGCCTACAACAACCTACTCTTTGAGTCCGGGGAGCCAGGGTCTGGGTACGCAGCCATGCTACTGTGCTACCTCCCCAGCCTGTTGACATATCTGAACCAGCTCCTTTAGCATCCTCTCTTCTTGGAGACCAGTGGACAGGAAGTTATCGATGGAGTGCTAGATCCAGCAGGAAGGTTGTGGGCAACTCATCATCTTTATCTTCATAACCAGAGACCCAAGAAACCCTAAAAAGGAACATGGTATCCCAGGACAGCCTTCTTTCTGTGAACCAATACCGAGGGTTCCCCACTTCGGACAGCTGTCATCAGCCACGTGCTTCTCCGAGCAAAGAGCCCCACAGAGGAAGAAGGTAGCTCTAGCCTTGAAAAAGTCTTTTATCCTTCGTGATTTTGATGCCTTTAAATTTGTCACCTGAATGCGATATTAACATAATCGTCTGCGTTTTCTGCTAATGAATGCACCTGCTTCTAAGACTTTATTTTAGCAGTTTTAATGAGCTCTTCAAAAGAGTTTGCCTGGACTCGCTGCACGGCTAGAGAGAAAGCAGCTGTAAGCAACTAACACTGCATTCAGAATTCGAGGGAAGGCTCTGTGAAGTTGTTAAACTTGAGACGCAGTATCTACCCATCTGTCTGCAAGGAGATGGAGCTGAGCTGTAGCTACAGCAACTGGGAAAAGCGCTAGCGAAAGTGGGCCTGGCCAGAGAAGCCTCTTTGCGGCTTGGCCAAAAGGAATGGGCCTCAGGCAAGTCTCTGAATCTCCATTTTCTCATCTGTATAATATGGTGTCTACTTGTTCGTGATGGTTTCATGCCTCATGTGATAAACACTCGATAAAGTAGCATTTCCTTATACCCACAGTGTTCATTCTGAAGGAAATGCGATTTAATGAAGGGCCACCTATGGCTGGGATTCATGTATGTGAACGATCCATCCCTGGGAACCATGGAGACAGAAAGGAAACGGGTGGTGGCCAGGTTCCAGAAGGAGGGAGCGAGCACCAGGCCGAAGCTGCTTAATGGATACGAGGCTTCCCTTTGGGGGTGATAAAAATGTCTGGGAACTGGATACAAGGGGAAGTTGTGCAATGTCACAAAGATGCTAAAGGCCTCTGTGCTGCTGCCTTTAAACTGGGGAACGTTGTGATGTGAGTCTCACCTAAGCAGGAAACAAAACCACTCCCCTCAATACAGAAGGGGACGACAAAAGGATCAAGCACACGTCTTAGGACTGCAGGTCCTAAGAGGGCTCTAAGGTGAATAGTGACTCATCAAGCCTCCTACGAAGGAAACCAATCTGGTCTCCTCTACCGAAGCCATCAGGATGCCCTTTCAATGCTGAGTCACACCTTGCTTCAGGGTGAAAGCATCCCAAGGAAGAGTCATCAACCAATCCGCAGATGTTCAAATCCCTACGCCATCCAGAAAGACTCGGAGGATTTCACAACACTCAGTGGGAGCTAGCATAGTAGGACAGACACGTGATGCTATTTGCATGCTGTCGTCTGGGACCTCCACCTTCCCTTCCACACGGTTCTCTGTGGAACTTTCATTGCAAAAGTTTGAAGTCAGAACCAATAAACTGCCCCAACCCCAACTCCATGGGAGGTGAAAGCTAGGACAAGTGCTGCCTTAAAAAACAAACAAACAAACAAACAAACAAACAAAAAAACATGTACAGAGCAGACCTCGAGATCACAAGGCAGGAGCACCCTAGATTAATGGTGCCCCCTTCCCTCTCCCCCCTCACAGGTGAGATAGCTGCTAAGAAAATCTCCGATTCCCTTTGAACTTTTATTTCAGTAATTGTGAACAAGAGCAGCAGCAAGGCCTCTCTGGAAGCCTCTCCTAACAGGACGCTAGGTAAGAGTCTTCCCTAGGAGTTGGGGACTGGCTCATCAGCCATTCACCCACACTCCTCAATGCTGCAGCAACATGCACAAAATAGGCCCAGTTTAGGAATCATCACCAGCTGAACATGGGTTTCTCTGGAAAGGTCCTGATTTCTAGAATTCTCCAAGCCAAAGCTTCTGGCAACTCCGCGCACCCGTACATTCTAATAGAGCCCCTCGATCCAGACTGAGGTGAAACATCTCTCCAGAGGACTTTGCAGTTCTGTTCTGAGACCTCCGCTGTGTAACCTGAGCTCACCTCCAGCCACCCTCTGGCACTGTTCAGCCACCAGGGCACCGGCTACATGCTGACGAAGGTCTCGCTATACAGCACACTGTGGGCCTCAGAAAGGCAGCATCAGCATCACCTGGAGAGCATCCTCAGTTGGCAGTGCAGGCCAGGTCCCACCCTCAACCTACTGCATCAGAGCCTACAGCTCAGATCGAGGTTCAGGATCTATCTGCTGGAGGTTGCTTCGGCTGGCAAGGTGACTCACCGTGTCGGGTTCCCAAGTTGTATGGTGCACTTTGCACTTCAAGGTTCTAACATAGATCTCCCTGCAGTGCTCCTGGGCAGGCTAGCTCTGCTCTGGAGGAGTTCCCACCCAGTATGCCTCTTGGTGATCTCTGTGCTCCTGTGTGCTGAGTGGTCACACAATTATACAGCACAGCCTCCTGTTAAGCGAGCTACGCCCACCCCCTGGGTCATCGTGCCCTCCTGTTCCCGCAGCTCTAGTGGTACCATGTTCATAAATTGTCGTTAAAGAAGGAAATCACCAGAAGGGGGAAAAATAATGTCTATAAACCTGCATAGTTTAGAGCTAAAGAATATGTTAAAATTTTCCATTGTGGAAATTTCCCAGCTACTGGGCTCTTTAGATTTTTTTTTTTTTTTCAGAGCCGCAAGCAAAGAATGGAAATTTCCAAAGGCAGCATCAAGAGCTGCTGTTCTGCTGACTGTCTCGCTCAGCCAGGGTCATCTGCTTCTCTAAGACATCAAGGAATGCCAAGGTAGGTCTGAGAGAACACACAGGCTTCCTCCAAAGGCAGGAAGGAGAGCTGGGAGGAGGGGAGGGGCGGCAGAGGTGACAGCCCCTGCTCCCTCCCCCTGAACAGGAAGTTTATCCTACTTGAGGTCTTTCCAGGGGCAGCTGGCTGGCAGGATTTTTTTTTTTTTAAACATTCCTAAGGTGGAGATACACAAACATGAAAGAAATAAATATTTGTTGGGGTCTAATCTTGAAAGCACTACCTGGTAGGTTTATCATTCCATCTTTACGTGACTTGCCCAAATAAACGGTTTTGTTTGTTTGTGACTGTGTCTCACCTAGGCAGGCTGGCCTTGAACTCCTGACCCTCCTTCCTCCACCTGCCAAGTGCTGGGATTACAGGCACGTGTGCCAGTTCGTCCAGAGTTAAATTCTGAGTTTAGAGTCTTCAGCTGTACCTCCCAAGACAACCGATCTTCCTGTCCGCCCCCCCTCAAACCAAATCATCCACAAATATCCCAGCAGGTTCTGTCCCCACCTTGGCACTAACATCAACAGCCCTGTTCCTTTCCACTGTAGCTACGTAAAAATACGTTCCAACTCACAGCTGGTCCTGCTGCCTGAGTCAACAGGCATCGAATAGTTCTCTGAGATCTGGCATGTTCCTTCCACCCACGGACGCTGCTCCTACAGAAGGCTGATGGCAACAACTCCATGGAAGTTGGTGTCAAGGCGTCGGGATCCTGCAGATGCCCAAGGACCCCAAGCAGCTTGGGAACAGAAAGAATATTTTCAGACCGAAGCCATGTGGTTTCTGTCTGAATTGTTTGGAAGTTTTGTTTTTGTTTTTTACTTTTCAGAACATTCTTAAGAAACAGATGCTACCTGTGAGTTCTGTCTTCTGACATGCCCTGGTCCCAGGGAAAGGATGGCTATGGGAGGTTTTCAACATTATTGTTACTTATATTACACATTACTTACTGAGACAAATTTGCTAACAGTTAAAATTTTCTGGCAATAAGCTTTGAAAGAAACCACACGGCAGCTCCTGCCTATAATCCTAACACCTGGGAGGTTGCAGTGGGGGACTCCACAAGTTTGAGGCTAACCAGGGCTACATGGTGATCCGAGGAGGAAAGGGGGTTAGGAAGGTAGCTCAGCTGGTAAGATGCCTGCTGTGTGAGCATCAGGACCTGGGATTGGATGCTCAGTACCCTGTTAAAGTCAGGCATGATGGCATGTATCCCTAACCCCAGTGGTGGGGCGGCAGACACAGGAGGCTTCCTGGAGCTCACTTGCCTGTCCATCTAGCCAAACCGGTGAGTTCCAGATTCAGAGACACCTTGTCTCAAAAAGTAACGGGAGTGGGGAGTAATTGTGGAAGACATTCATTGTCTACCTCTGAGCTCCTCATACATGTCCATGTTCCCTACAAATACGTACATATACCAAGGGGGGGGGGAGGAAGGGGAAGAGAGAGAGACCTAAATGGAATTGGGAAAGCCATCAAATGGTTAATGATGGCTGTCACTTCAGTCCCATCTATATGTAGCAGCAACAGTGCCAATTCCAACAGCACCTGTAACAGTAGTGAGGCATAGAATGACGGCAAGAACATCCAGTGTAGGTCTGCTTAGACATTAGCCCCCACAGCTGTTCAGTGTCCATCACTGGAGGCGTCTGTGATAATGATTTGCTTTATACCTTTAATGGGTTAAAATCAAGCCTGGTTCCCCGGTGAAATTCATCAGGTGGTACTTGAATGGGGGTCTGGGTCTCATCCGACAAGCCTCATTTTACCCCTCCTCTGTATCTGTCATGTACTAGAGGATAATGGTCGCCTCAGTAGAAGACACCGATGATTCATAGCTGTGGGTGGGGCTGAGCAGACATGTATGATGAATACATCTTTCCACTTGAGACCACAGAGATGACATTTTTTTAAAAAAAAAAATCCGTGCTTGGAATGCATGCTGCTTTGGATTATGATTGCTTGTGATTTCAAACACGGCCCTGGTTCTGTCCCTCCAGTCCCCCTGCTGTTTGCAGTGTCACTAAGCGGCCGGCTCTAATCAAGAACCGGAGCCCATTTCCAGACCCTTCCAGTCCACGCTGGCCTCTTGCCTCTCTCTCTCTCTCTCTCTCTCTCTGGCTACCAGAAAGGAACAGAAGTAACTGTGCTGAATCCAAGCTGAGCCTCAAGTGTGTACTTCCACTTTCTCTCTTGAACCTGCCACTGCTGGCTGAGCGTCGGCCAACCCGTGGGAGGATGAGTGATTGCATACAGCGGGGGTGAAATGTCCCAACCGGTGGTATCCTAGGTCACCCAGCCCCAGGTAGATCTGGCCCCGAGACCAGGTTTTGCTGACCTTTTATCTAAAGAAATGCATTACCCACAAAGGCGTTAGTACCCACTCTGGGATGCCAGTAGCTTCATGGCAGCTCATCTCCATCACTCCGGGGAGTGGGGAAGGGAGAAAACTAGCTTACTCATAACAGGAGATAAGAAGGGGCTGGGGATAGGGCTCAGTGGATACAGTGGATAGAATGTTTGCCTAGCAAGCCCAAATTTGGAACGTCATCACCAAATAAAACTGGGCATGGCTAGCACATGCCTGGAATCTCAGCACTTGAGATGTAGAGGCAGGAAGACGAGAAGTCAAGGTTATCTTTGGTTACATAGGAAATTTGAGACCAGCTTGGGCTACATGAAACCCTACTTTAATTTAAAAAAAAAAAAAAACGGAAAGAAAGAAAAAAGGGGAATTGACACAGTACCGAGATTGCACTGGGCAAGAACCACACGGAACAATAAAAAAATTAAAAGCTGCTTCAACCCCAATGGTTGTTTGGTTAATGCTACAGGCCAGAATGATCAAGCAATGTTTCATTTCCCAGCCTCTAACTTCTAATACTCATTTAACAAACGCACACTGCATGTCTCAGTGAGGATGGGGCGCCACTCGTTCCTTGCCTGCTTGGAGTTCCCCGAGTGTATTGTGCTGTTTCACGCCTCCCTAACTCTGCACACAATGTTCCTTCTGCCTGGAACACTCTTAGCCCTCTTCTCTCACTGGCGAACGCCTACTCACTGAGCAGAGCAGAGCTCAAGGATACTGCCTCTTGGAAGACTTCCCCAGGAGCACCTCCACCTCCTCGCCCTCAACCTCCGGCCACACGCGCGGTCTCAGCATTCACTCTGCCAGCCTAACAATTAAAGCAGAAAATGCCTCTGTGGCACTGGGCACTCACTGTGTGCCGACGCTGTTCCACGGCATCATTTGATTGAAATTTTCCATATCCTCGCGTCTTTCCCCAAGGCGGGCGTATGTTCCGTGCTTCGTGCTGGGTTCTTCCCACCTGTTGGGCAAACAAGTTATGTAGTAATGTGTCACATAAACTGTGCACCCACTGAGGGCACCTATGGCATTGTCTCACGAGTGCAGTCTCCAGAGCAGACTCTCAGGGGGCAGCGGATGAGCGACTGAAAAGAACAAACACTTAAACAGCCCAGAACACATCTCGGCCGTCTTTTCAGCTCTCCACCGGGACAATCACGTCCAGGAACTTTTTAGAGGATGCTGTTATGATTATCATGGTGCCACATATCAGGGATGGAAGGTATCAAGAACTCTCTGATAACTTTCCAAGGCTGCACAGCTCGTGTGTGAGAGAACCGCTCCCAGGGGCTATGCTCACAACCACAGGAGGGAAGGGAAGCTGGGCTGACTCAGCATGAATCCATGTCTGTCCCCAAAGGGTGAAACTTTGAGGATATGAATGGTGTGGTGGGCATGACCGGACGCTCGGGCTTGATCGCCCATAGGCTTGCACTCACGTGGGCACTTGGTGCTCAGTGTGAAGAGGTGGAGGTAACTGATGGTACTTCCAAAGGGTTTCCTGTTGTCATGTGTGCTCAGCACGGTGCCTAACAGCCCACATATGCTGTTTAAGGCCTCCCTGACAGCAGGCCGAGTCTTGCGGCATAACCCCTATGCTGGTCCAAGGCCATTTTACAAATGAGCATCTGGAAGACAATTACTTGGAATTGTCTATGAGGCTGCTGAACCTGGCGAGGCACTGGCACTTTCTGTAAAAACACAATGGCCAGCTGCTCACGGAAGCTTTGGTAGTCCCCAGGGGGCCTCCCAGGCAGAGTGCCTCTCAGCGACACAGATAAAGGCAGGGACACACAGTGACCGGACCACAGCTGTCTCGGTACAGACCGGCTCTGCTGAAAAGACAAAGAATAGATACTTGGAATTTTGTTTCTGAGACAAATATGACCTTGGAAAATGTTAGGTCTGAGCACTGGGACATTAGAAAACGGAAATGACCAGTTTCTGCAGCCCCTTCATGTCCACAGTCCCTTTAAATTCAGACAAGTCCATTTTCTGCTTCTCAGTCGTGTCCATCCTGTGTTCTATAGGCCTTGTGAAACCAAGATAGCCATGGATGTGGCCTACAATATTTGTGGATGACACCATCATGTTGCAAGGTCAAGAGATTGGACGCCCCTGCAGATAGCCCTCGCCCTAAAACTGGGTCCTCTCTAATGGTTTAAAGGGCCAAACAGTGGCCAGAATGACCTCCCACAGGTTCCGAGTACTTAGCACAAACACAACAGAGGGAATAAGAACTCCAGGACCCCAAATATCCACCTGCCCTATGAGCCTGGACAAGACTGTGCCCACTGGCTTTCCTCTTGGTGAGGAGCTTCTCCCAAAGACACTGATGGCCTGGCTGGAAAATGCTAGAAAATCCATTTGATTTGTATTCATTTTCAGGGCACCGGGTAGAACTGATAGCACCTTGCTTCCCAATTAAAATAATAACCCAACTGTTGTGCTTACCACCTCCAGATTAACAACTAAAAGTCTTTTGTTTGGTTCACTGGCAAACTTTTACTTTCCCAACTGACCATACACTCCCTGAGAGTCAGGATTGTAATCTTACTCCTTTGGACTCCTTCATGCAGACAATATGTCACAGTCCTTGGTGGAGGTCAGAGGGACAGAGGACAGAGTGTTTGGAGACACCCACCAGCCCGCCCGTGCTCGCACACCCAACTCTGGCTCGGTGGAGGTCTTGAGGAGCACTTAAGTCTGAGATGCAATTTCCTCATCTTTAGATCCCTCTCTGGCCTTCTGCCTGTTGGGAAGATCAAATAAGATAATGCATGAGAAAGTATTGTGTAATCCAAGAACTGCCAATGACTGAAATGTAAGGAACCCTTGGAGAGGCACTTAGTAAATATCTGATTGATTTTTAATGATAAGGTATTGTCTCTCCTCTTCTCTACAATCAGTCCCTTTAAGGATTTTATTTCCTAGAATTTAATTTTATTTGAGTAGCAAAGCCACTTCCCATTTTCCTAATAGTGCGTACTTGCCCCCATAGTCACCTTAAAATCTGATTGTAATCTAAGCAAACCAACCCCAAAGAAGTCACAAAGCACACTACTGTCATGTCATTCACCCGGGATTCATGGGAACAAACACATTCAGACCCCACTTCAATTTCAGGACCTTTCTCGTGCTGCTTTCAGACCATGACAAGTGTACCCGAAGGAAGGATTATGCATCTTTGTGTTGTAGCACACTCAATGGACACAGTTCCAAGCGTGTATCATCACTAAGTCAGGGCCAGCAGGTAAGGAGAAATGGCATGCCTCGTGTGAGAAATTTCACAGCGGTGATACTAGAATATGGTCTCTTAGAACAAACCATTTATTTGTAGTCTTCGTTCTGAATTTGTTCTTAGCAAAGACAGCACTCCTGCTTATCAGAGAATCCTAGATCATACATTAGAAGTCTTCCAAACACGGACCTTGCTTAAGGGGCTTTGAGAAAACATTCAGTGTAGTTTCTGGGTTTCTCCTCTCTTAGCTAATAAAAGAACCAAGAAACAAAAACAAGAGACACAAGGAAATAAATAAGTTGTATATTCCAGGGATGAGTTTACATCTGATTTCCCATCTAGTTCTCTGGGACCAAATGCCAGGAAAGTAAAAATACCTAGATTTTATAAAATGGACAAAAAACCAAATAGCTAAAGAACCACTGGCTCAGCTTAAGTACTAGCATCTCTCACTGAATAGTTCAATGTCCATTTTAAAACGCTACTTATGAAACTGCATGAGCCTACGTCCCTTCCAAGTTCAACCAAAGTGTGAATCATTGGATTTGTGTGCGGGCTTGAAATGTGTCGTTAATGTTATTGGACTTGGGCCAGTTTTGAACAATACTATTGATTTATGAAGCCCCCTTTAGGGGGCTGCCTTCCAGAGGAGCTAATCACTCTAAAGCGCTTGTCTGTTGTGTGGTATTTTGTGTTCTGACAAATAAAGCTTGTTTGAAGTCAAAGGGTGGAGCTAGCCACTAGTTAACCATAGAGGTCTGGAGGTCTGTACAGAGAGGAGACAGGAAGTGATAAAGCGGGGCTGAGACAGGATCTTGGCCTTTTTGGACAGAGGAACAGAAGAGATAGGAAGGGATTGTGGTTCTCTCTGCTTCTCTGATCTTTCAAGTTTTTGCCTCAGTATCTGACTCCTGTGGGTTCTTTTCTTTTTTTGATAAAGATTAATTAGATTTACACTTCAGTTGTTTGTGTTAAATACACCAAAGATAAAAAGAATAGTAAACAAACTGACAGACAAAAACCCCAAACTCATCATCAAACATTTGACAACTGTAGATATAAAGCCAATCTTGAGAGCCTTAGTTTGTCTTTGAGATGGTCTTACTAGGTAGCTCTAGCTGGCCTGGAACTCCCACTGTAGACCAGCCTGGTCTTAAACCTGCGTTGACCCACCTCTCCTAGGCCTCTACAGTGCTGGGATTACAGGCAAACACCACCACATCTGGACTCTGTGTTTAGTACCCGAGAGGAAGGCTAGGACCTTGCACATGCTAAACACATTCTCAGCTCCTGAAGCTTTAGTTTTTAGCAGATATTAGTAGTAGCCATATGAGATATCGAAATACACCTTAATGTTCAAACCTGATAGCAAGCTTATCCATCTTTATTTTCCTCTAATTAATTCTATTTTCAGCAGACACTTTCTTTCTTACTCCCAAAGCTTTTCCACTTCTCCTGAGGCTGGTAGGAAGCCAAGTTCCCTTCACAGTCAGACCAGAGAGAAAATACTTAAAGGGAGACGTGGTAGCTCGAAATTTTTACTCATTTATTAACTATTCTCTTCTGAGACATGGCCTCTCTGTCTGAATTGTTGAGGAAGTCGGTGGTGTTGGGAAGGCAGTCATTCCCAGCCGTGGAACTGGTTCTCAGACCCTCTTTCCTGGTGACACAGGGGCTCTGGGGAGTGGCAGACACTATGGGATTGGGGTAGGACTGTCCTACTGCAACTGTTATACTGACTGTTATACAGGGGCAGATATCATAACTTGTGAATTTCAGAGCGGACGGCTTCTCGTACATGCAGGTTATTTACGTATTTCATATATATTACTAAATGTTTTCTCAGAGTGCAGTTTGCTATATGGAATCATCATTCTAAGACTTACCAAAGTCTACATCCATTTACAGTCAAACCATACTCATACGCAATCTAAAATACCTTAAGAAAAACAAATGAGAAGAGAGAAGTTGAGTAAAAGCTGTATGGCTTTAATAAAAGTTGAATTTCTCCTTTTATACTGTTCCTGTGGTAAAAAAAAAAAAAAAAAAAAGCCAGCAGCTTTCCTATCTAACTGGTAACACTGAAGCATTTGGTTAATTTTAGGATCCTTGATTGCTATTGGGAACAAGCATACTGCTGAGGCATGAAGTGGAAGGTGTAATTGGGAACCAGACAAGAGACAAAAGGCTTCCTTCACAAGCATTACACTCAAAAAATATAGAAAGCAAAGAAAAGAGATCGGCGATTTCACTGAGTAACATAAAGCTACATTTCCCATGCAAGTAAGTTCCTGAAAGAGCCAAACCCGACAGTTACACAGACCTTCCATGGAAAGTTTTCAACCCCTTAGAGATCAAATGCAGAAACAGCAAGATGACTCATCAGGTAAAGGTGTTTGCTGCCAAGCCTGATGCCCATCCCTGGGACTCAGATGGCAAAAGGAAAGAACTGACCTGATTCTCACAAATCGTCTTCTGATCGCCACTCAGCCATACACATTCGGGCATGTCTATTATTAAATGCAACATTAAAAATACAACAAGAAGGACAAAAACAGTCAAGTGATGGTGGTGCACTCCTTTAATCCCAGCACTTAGGAGGGAGAGGTAGGTGGATCTATCTCTGTGAGTTTGAGGCTAGCCTGGTCTACATAGTGCGTTCCAGATCAGTCAGGGCTACATTGTGAGACCTCTCTCTCTCTCTCTCTTACACACACACA